TACAGTACGTCCCGAAACTGGTGCAACCGCCTACACTCTTCGAGTGATTATTTAGCCCCATTGCCAAGAAACACTATACCATATTAGGTAAAAACCGGAATATCAATATTCCTGTACCAGTCTCGATACCGTGATTTACTTTCATTAAAATACGTTGCCTCGTCTTGTAACTGTATTGGTAACACAAGGGAACTAGAATTTTCCAGGGAAATACAAACAAGTCAAACACTAGAGCTTGAGTCCCTCGATAATCTGGCGACCTGTCTTTTCCCTTCCGCTCCTATATCCAAGTGACGGTCTGGGAGGCTTACTCGGCACCCGACCTGCAAATAGTGACTTGCATTACTGCTTACTGTCCTTACAGACTACCCATGAACCCGCTTATCATAATACTCAGCCTGTCAGCCATAGTCACCCCGGAACACACTTAGTGGAAACTAACACACAACCATGTTAATAATAATAGCTAAAAAGACCTGGTTGGAACGACGGCCCTTTATTTCCATGGCCTCATACTAAGATCAATCCCTATTCATTTTGCAGTATTATGCTGCTATGGTTTATAAGAGCCAAAATTACCTTCCTGCAAACAAGTGAACACCTGACCGCTTTACCGTTCTGCTAGCAATCTAATGCCCTTCACACTCACTTCGCGGTTTAAGAGGCGATGAATTTATCGTCGTCGAACTAAAGTGGCTCCTTAGCCTCGACATCCTCGACATACTCAATGAGATCGTCGTCTTGAAACGAAGAATAAATATGGTGGGGAATTCCAGCGCTGATTTTGCTTAATGTTAGCGCAATCATATATGAAGTGGGAGGTTAAGTCTTGTTAGAGAGAACACGAACATAAATCCATAAATAATGGGATTATCATTTCTGTAATATATAGAGTGGATTGAACCTCCGGCATTAGTGACACGATTGGCATATTTATCGATTTGGTCGTTTGTGGCGGTGTCCTTGAAGACGACCTATATTATTTGATTAGAAAACCTATAGGCTGTGAATAAAAGCATCGCTTACAACGTAATCATTCTCTGCCATAACGGTATTAATCGTTAAGCGAATGTTCGCTATGTGTAATCGACGTCGCAAAGTAGAATTAGTCCAAAGTAGAGTATGAGTTTTTTGCGTTCAAGTTTTGTGCATAAAGCGCCGAGTGGACTTCTTTATGTTAGAGGGAACGGGCCATAGCCCTGCTTGATCTAAACTTTCGTACGTAATTGGAGAATTTGCGAGACTTTTGGCACCTACGCTACGTCACTCCACTGGTCAATGCGTCAATGGACACGTCACTACCGCCTTTTCACTAGGTAGACGCCAATTAACCATACTCATCAGCCTGTTAGGACGACTTTGCCGAGCTTCGATTTGCTTATCTCCGTCACTTGTATGAAGAGTTGCTAGTAAGAGTCTGACCCGATTGAATTAATGACTTTTCACATATGACTTTGATTTATGTGATTTAGTGATGAGTTACTCCGTAGGCGCAGATGGTTTTAGCTTAGCCATAGGAGAACTCCACCTAATTGTGGCACCGCGCTGCTGAAGGCCACCCCGCTTAGATAGCAGAATGAAATCTAAAGTCTCCACGCCCTTGTTGGCCCTAATATTAGAAAAGATTCTTGAAATAGTACTCTTATTGCAGCCAGCGACCCGTGCCATCTCGATTATAGATGGTTCGCCACTGTATATCATATCATAGATAAGCTCATGTTTAGGTAAGGCTAGGTTTGGAGCCATCATTGGTTGGACCACTAGTAATTAATTGTCAAGAGTGCCTCCCGAGAAAAGCTGCTCCGGGTGAGGGGCATAGAGGTGCCCTTGCGTCGAGTAACAATGGGTCTTCACTCTCCGAATAGGATAGTCCCTGTATATTTCTTGCTACAGTACGTCCCGAAACTCTGGGTCGCGCTCTTTCTGTCTCTAGTACCAGAAATTGGTCTTACCCCTGGTACAGTCCTGTTTGTTTGATATACCACTAGGTCATACAGCGATTTTCGAAAACAGTTTACCCCTCAGACACTCACACTTTGTTTCTCGGCCCGTACCCGAGACAACGCTAGGCCAGATAAGGCTAGCTCGTACATGGAACTGATCTATAAGTGGACAATGTCTTACCACTTGCCCCAATAAGAGTTTAGCTTGTTTCGGGTACGGGCCCAGAAACGAAGTTTGAGTGTCTGATGGGTAAACTGTTTTCGAAAATCGCTGTATATAACATGATTCCTCCAGGGATCCAGCTTTTTAGGCTATCTTTTGGTGGGTTAGGACTATGCAGTGACGGATAGTGGATGTGGATGTGGTACCGTTCCAATACAGGATAGATACCCACTAAGTCTTTTTCCTCGTTCAGTATTATCCTATTTAGCCTTGTAACGGATCCTTAAATATAGGAATAGCTATATACAGCTTAGCGCAGCATATGATTAGCGTTTGAAATAGCTCCTCTACGTCCCATAAAAGGCGAAAGCGGTCGCTACTATACTCTATAGACTTTCGTGGTTGGATTACCTATAGTTGTGACACAAGAGCTATCAGCAAAAGTCTTTTAAGGCGAACTTCACGACTACGTGCTCGCCGTTGCGATTATGAGCTTCATTGAATGCTCGACCTTCTTTTCATACTGTAGCCGCCACGATGCGAAATAATTTAAACCACTAACCTTATTGAAAAACGTTCGCATAAGAGATTTACTATAGAATAGTTACCTCATGACCCAAACAACACTAGTACTCGTGACGAGGTTATCTTCCATAGTGGTCGTAGATAGCATGCTAGTAGACGGAGTGCTGGTAGATGGAGTGCTGGTAGACGGAGTGCTGGTAGACGGAGTGCTGGTAGACGGATTGCTGGTAGATGGAGTGCTGGTAGACGGAGTGCTGGTAGATGGAGTGCTGGTAGATGGAGTGCTGGTAGATGGAGTGCTGGTAGATGGAGTGCTGGTAGATGGAGTGCTGGTAGATGGAGTCCTAGCAGATGAAGTCCTAGCAGATGAAGTGTCGGTAGATAGTATACTGGTAGATGAGTAGGAGGGCGAATTCGTTTTGTTCCATTTTCCAGTTGCAACACACCAGCTACCAGTCTTTAATCCATCATTGAGTACACAGGACGCTTGGTTCCCATTTTTATTGGTAAAAGTGACCAGTCCCGTATGGTTCACCTGGATCCAAGCAGCGGGTGAGCCGTCTTCTGTACCGCATACGTCGACGTTGAGCACATTCAATTCATGACGGTTGCCCTTGTCGACCACACTGAGCTCTAGCAAACTGTTAACTGCTGTCTGAAGTTTCAATTAGTGGTGCCTACTTGAACAATCAACTCCATCGAGAAGGCCAAAAGACGCAGAGTAACCCGTGCAGCCATAATTATTGTTAGACCATATCAGACATTGCCCTTCATGATCTATGACCTCAAGGATTCCGGCTTGGGAAGTTCCTGCCTGAACAATGGCTAGAATTGCAATTAAGGAAAAATGCATCTTCGAAAAGACCTCAGGAACGATAGTCTATCTTGACTTGAATGGTCAAGATTAAGAGCACACTGCGAGGCTTTAAATATGCATTGTATACACCAGAGTACACGTTGGTACACGGTCTTCTTGAGGGTGGTCCGGAAAGGTTTAACCATGATCTGAAGCCTCAGAAACGAGCCTCAGAAACGACCAGATGAAATACCAAGCTATCTAGCCATTATTTGACTTCTGTTACAACATTCCGTATTAAGGACAACCTGAATTTGTTAAAGTGGTCGAAAGGCTCATGGTAATAAACACGACAGTGTATTCCCGCTACAAACTTCAAGAGCAGAAACTGAGGGACAACTTAGCGCGACACCGCCTTTGAACCAGGCGGAAAGTGAGAGCCTAAAGAGAACCGACAAGCTAATGATTGTAGACAAAATCAGTTGAATATTAAATCCGAACTCAAGGAAATTGGAAGCATAAGCTAGCCCGTTATGTGCATATAGCAAACATTTAAAGCTGGACTTAATATTAGTGGGTAGATCGGTAATATTATATGAAATTTAACCCAGAATATGCAATCATTATTAGATCACAATCTTGAAAAATTGTAACTATTCTTGTCTTTAGACCAGAATGACCGGTTGGGGTAGTAGTGAGCGTGACGATCGAGAATGACGTGGTGCGTTATCAGACAACGCTATACCACAACATAAATAGTCCTTGAAAACTTCTCTAAGCTCAACAAACAATAATCCCATACGATCATACATAAAGCACACCCTCTCTTCTTTATTCACCATGGATACCGTCAAGGTTCGTGACTGTGCTCAGCGCCTCCCCTGGCACATACTAACAAGGACAGAACGCCGCCAACTACGTTGCTGAGACCGTGCAGGGCACTGGTGCCGAGGCCTCTAAGGAGACCAACAAGCAGGTCACCAAAGACGAAGATGCCAAGCTGAGCACTCGTGCCACCGCTGCCAAGGATGCTCTTGTCGACAAGAAGGACGAGAAGTCTCACGATACCAAAGCCGATGTTCACAATGGTAAGTTATCCACCTGATATCAATATGGCCAACCACGCACAATCCTACAGAACAGGTAAAGCACTAAATTTGACGGATATTGCTTAATTTGGGTCGATGTCGTAATTGCTTTGCTACCCCCGCAGGTCGGGCACACGGCTCATGATTTGTTCATGTATACCACAAGCAGTCGTTAAGGACGCCTTCAATGAATACCAATTCCAAAAGAACCATATGTTCCACCAGAAAGTGCTAGAGCTAACTGATAGAGATGTGTTGAGAGCTGCGCGACCTATCAAGGATGACGTCAGGACGGTGGATGATCGGCAACAGGTCGGAGAACATCAACTAATGCTGACTGGCCCGTCACCCTCCACCTACGTCACATCTAGGAAATTTTGAAAAGTGAGCCGCAGTGGATCGGTGGGCCGGCAGAGCATTTGTCTCGCAGACAGCGCAATTGGACACTGGCAAAGGGTAAGAGCGCACCACCAAAATTATGACTGGTGGGTGAGACCGAATACCGCAACATATGGAGTTACAGTACATGCAGCAGCTCACTTGTGATATGAAGCTAAAAAGTCAAGACATGCCCGTCTCTCCCGCCCCACATGCTCTCTACCCAGCCCTGGAATCATTGACTTTTACAAATCTGTCATTTCATCACCACAAATGTTTGGCAACAGGTACGATAATCTGCTGAACTTTGCAAACCGTTACGTGTGTATACTAATTGGGCTTCAATGCAGACCGAATGGTAAGAAGCCCGGAGAGGGCCTCATCAATAAGTTCCAAGCGACTTTCTCAGATATTGTCCGACCTACCATACACGATCCTCCTGGGTATGTCTCATGCCTTACTGTGATGTTCGCGACGTCTATTCTCATCCTATCATTCTCCTGGACTTGAACCATACGCATTAGCTCATCTTGTTGTTTCTCATACAGCCCCGCGGACCATGACCCGAGCCATCTTTCTACCCGAGGCGCTCCTGGTCTTCGCTTCGCGCCCTTGCTAAATGACCACTCTGGTCTCCGATTTACGCCATTTCTTGATGACCACTCACTTCCCACACCAAATACAAACCAGCCTTACCAAACTTATAATCCCGACTGCCTAAATACAATCTTCCATGGCCCGGCCGGAGACTTGCATACACCACTCGTGGATTCAAACTTGATGACACCGAAAACGCTCTTTGAACAATTCGCGGTCACTCCCCTACATAGAAATAACATCGACCCATTTCATGATACATCAAATGCGCAATACTTCGCACAAGGGTCCCAAACTATAGCTCCTGGCAATCTGCATGCTGCATATCCACCGGGCACATTTGTTCACTACGACTTAGCTGACGGTGCTGCTGATGGAACGGGCAAAGCAGCCTCCCTGGGTGACGTCGATAATCAAGAGACTGGAATATCTCGGCTCGTTACGCCCCAAAACAACAGTCTTTCACCAGGAAAAAGCCGCGCAAGCCACGATAATCACCCGTAAACTGTGTCCCCGTTTTCTAGTGAGCAGGAGAAGTGGAACTGACAGTTTCCTAGATTTAGGTATCAGGTCTCACTGAACACGCCGACAGCGATGATTAATGACCCAAATCGCCCGCCTGTCACCTATCTCAACAAAGCTCAAATATATCCTTTGTCGATCGTCGATACAGATCAGCCAGCGAGCAACCAAATTGCCAAATATCGAACCTGGATTCGCGTGACTTTTGAAGATGATGAACAGGCTTCGAACTCTGCCTCTTCTTGGACCCTGTGGAAGGAGACTCGGGGACATGAGGCATATCGAAAAGATGGTAATTTATATGCCATTGAATTTGTTGGTCTATCCCAAGAAAATGAAGGACAAACCTGTGATCACATCCAGCTAGAAAGGATCTCGCTGGATGGATTCTGTGTCACATGGTACTCAGACCCGACCACGGGGAAACGAGGCTGCTCAATGGGGGTCCGCTTCCATTTCCTTTCGACAGACTTCAGCCACACAAAGGGCGTGAAAGGAGTTCCTATCAGGTTGTGCGCCAAAACCGAGACTATCACCTCAGGCCCTGCCGAGATAAGCTATTGCAAAGTAAAACTGTTCCGTGAACACGGGGCCGAACGAAAAATGTTCAATGACGTCTCCCAGCTGAAGCGGGCAATTGAAAGACGCAGGCAAGATTTTGCCAAAGCCGAAAGCGGAGGTGAACACCTCGGAAAGCGAAAACGAGGAAGCCGCTCCGTGCTCTATAAGAGCGACAAAGAGCTCGAAGATGAGAGGAAGGATCAGCTGCAAAAAAGCTTGGATGAGGATTTGGCCATGATGCAAAACAGATTCTATTCCAATCGACCCGTGACCAATTTCTGTCTTCCCGGGAGTATTAAGGATGATCCAGATCTGTTCCCAATCAAAATGGAAGATAATCTGACGCAAAGCATCGCTCGAATGGACCAGCCGACCTTGCAAACCCTGACGCCACCATCAACATTAGACAGTGTGTCGAGAAATTTGTCATATAACTCGACAGATCACCGGTCACCCACGTCCCGCAAAGACCAAAATCCACCAATTCTGGCTCTGTCTACCGGAAAGGCTGCATTGACATCAATCAATTCAAAATCCAAAGCACCAGGTAAGGTTCAGTTCCCAACCAGCTAAAGGATATAGTCTGACTTATACATAACTAGTTGCATGTTTCTATCTCCGCTTCCAGAAAAGCGGCGCACAGCAAGATGATTACCATACAGCAGTGTATCTGACAGAACGTACTGCGAATGAGCTAATGGCGAAGATATCTCACAAACAACGCTTCAAGCAGGATCATATAGTGCAGCTGTTCCAGATCAAAAATGGAATGAAAATTATCATCGATGATGATGTAGTTCAGCGGATTCCGGATGGTCAGAATATAATCGCTGATGTGTCTGGTATCTCGAGCAACATGGCTACCGGTTGTGGCTCAATTGTCGAGGTCAGGTTAGACTTCTAAGTGCCCATAGTTTGGTTACTCCTGGACCTTTTTGTCTATCACTTAGTGGATTCTCCTGTTTATCTCACTTTCAGTGATCACTTTGTGGCCAGTGATGGATGATTACCTATAGCTCCTTTCAGATCGCTTGATTTGGTGTGAGGTACAGATTGGATATTGGGCGAGGCCGCATTGAGGATGATTAACTCTGTGAAACAATAAACAAACAAACAAACAACCACTTTAAGATCGTTTCAAAATTGTAGATTATGTGCTCGGAGTACTCCCTTACCGGCGTGGGGCTTGTATTCCAGGGCTAGTACCTAGGACATCATCGTCGAAGGTGGTCCCTTGTCTTACCACGTGTTTTTATAAGTGTGAAGTACGTGTTAATACGATGATGTAATCCAGAAAGACAGAATGAAATCCCAAATAGTATCGATGTACATAATCATTGGAGAATAGGAGGGAACAGGTACGAGTCACTGTACCACTGTGCATTTCCATGGCCTGCTACATTAGCTCAAATATAACAGCAATATTGGTTCAGTGGCTGAAGGGCAAGACTGAACGCAAAATCCGCCCCATGAAATGTTTATTGACGACCCTTCTTTATTGAAGCCAATAGACTGTTAAACGCGTCGCTTCTGCTGAGCAGCATGAAACCAAATTTGTCATTTGTGAGACCAGATTTAAAAATGAGTTGTTATTTATACCGCATCGGGTACATCACGATCATGTTATAGTGTTAAAAGCAAATAAACCATCGTGAGGCTGGAAAAGACCGGTCACTACATTAGTAAACAACTGGGCCAACTGTACCACCCTCAACTTACCACTCTCAATTGCTCCACCATTTTTGTTCCTATAAACTTAGCAGACGGTATTTATTGAAGTCGCCAAAGCGGGGGGGTATTTCGTGCGAACTGAATGGCTTCTGACCTTTTTTTATCTTCTGGTGGATATCTAGTCCATGAGACATACTTTCGCTAACCCATGGAGTGGGAATTTGTGACTTTACATTGTGCGGTATCGATCGCAGTATTAGAACTAGTCCAAGGCTTCTCCTGCTTTAACTACAAGAAATGAATATGCTCTCGCGTCTCTTGTTTTCATGGAATATCAATAGATTCCTGTAAGTTGAACGGGGAATCTGCAGAAGCTGTTCGATCTTTTACTGTAAAAGCACCACGCTCAAATTAGATGTCAGATTGGAAAAACAGGACGCTATATCCAATCTCTTTTCACTTCAAACAGTAGGTCTCACTGATACTCAACTATCTCGGGCCGTAGCCAAATATTGATAGAGAGATCAAGGACCCTATATCGTGATTTCGGTTGGGTCATTATTCTCCTTGAACAGCTATTGTCTTGAAAACCGAAGCTAAGGTCGGCTTTCAGCTGTTACATTACCGCCCATCTGTTGGGCGCATAATTTACTCTCTTTAGCCAACTCAAAGTTGCCAAACGTGCATGGTAAAACCCTCTGCCAAGATATCCAGTCTCAGTTGTTGTCACTTTGTTCCACACAGCGGGGTGTCGCTTCTATGTTGGGTGGTAGGAAGATACGCGGTCTATCCTCCTGCAGCAGAACGTGAGAATAAGGTTGGAACTACATCGTCGTGGTTAAGTTCTTGCAACGGGCATGCGGTGCTGACAGTATTGATTACGGACCTCTATAGTCCGCCAGAGAACAAATAAATCGCACAGGGTTATGTTTTGCCATCCTGACCAAGGAAGATGTATACGTGACAGTGAAGGCTTACTTCAGGACACACTGTTCTCATTTACTTGTTTCTGCGCGTTCAATTTAACATGTGCTTGGTGCCATCTTCGGGCCCAATCACCGTTCATCTGTAGCTTAAAGCGGAGGTGAGTCGCCTTTATCCCCGACGATAATTTGAATATCAAGGTGCATGGCCACGGGTTTCTCCTGCTTTTCCAGCCTCTGCCAGGCTTTCAACCAGTTTTTCTGAGGGCAAGGTGCAAGATAACCGAATATTCGAACTCTCGTCGGACTGGCATTCTGTACTGACCACTGGAGCTGGCAACGCCAGTGTCACGTGTCCGCATGCGTGCCGGGTAGGCAATAGAAAAAGATTCAGTAAAAAAGGTTCAACAAAGATACAGTGAGCAAAGATAGGTTAGCAACGCAGCGATGGTGAAACAGTGTACGTTTAACAACGAACGATTAACATTGTTCACAACGGACGGTAAATGGTGAAGGGTGAACGGTTTGCAAATGATCAACAAACAGTTAGCAATAAATGGTAAACAGCAAACGGTTAAGGACAAAGGTCAAGAACAAACGGTCAAGAACAAACGGTCAAGAACAAACGGTCAAGAACAAACGGTCAAGAACAAACGGTCAAGAACAAACGGTCAAGAACAAA